GACAATAGTACAGACACCTGTTCAGCCGTTGGACAGCCAGTGATGGTCATATCGTCGTTGTTGTAACCGTTTGTGGTTAGTATTTGTTCCAGTTTTACAAATGTTTGAATGATGTTATTCTGTGGAAATCATAGTTATTAAAGGGAGTCAACTACATATATACATACATATATGCAAGTTTAGGTACTCACTCGTATCGGTCGAAATATTATAAATTCAGTATCACGATTACTTAAGTATAGCTGCATTGAACGCTGCAGTGTTGATAGTTTACTTTTGATTAAACGTTGTGTTTCCTGAATGATGCTGCTAATTTGCTGTGGGCTTGCCCATGCGCTCTGGCGTAAGGCGTAATTTAGTTTTGGTGCAGCAGCTTCTTTTTCATTTGCGGCAACTTTGCTGTCCTTCGTTTGTAATAATGCTTGTTCTTTATCCAAAAATTGCAAGATTGGTGAAACTAACATATGCACCGCGTCCTTAATAAATTGCTCACACACCATTTTGAGTTGGCGATCGACTTCTTTACGTGAATCAAGTAAATGTTCCTTTATCTGTGGTGTACCTTCGAGCAGAAACTCGAGCAGGGCATTATTGCTGCCCATGGTGAAAAGCTGTTTACGTTTGTGTAAAAGACCAAAAGCAGCAGTTTTTACTTTGCTGAAATCCAACGAAGTCTCCTTGATGGTAAAGTCAACACGAAAGGGAGCTATTTGTTCCCGCAATATTAGCAAGTGCTTGATTTCGAACAGTTCGCCATCTATTGGGGTCTGTAGAGAGCAGAATGTGATAATTGGCAGAGATTTAACCAAGGAATAAATCACATTTTCTTTTACCTTAGCTGTTGAAATTTTGGAAGCGGCTGCGGACACGCTTTGTATGCATAGCTTGAGTGCCTCCTGTGAGAGACCTTGAAATATGGGTCGATCCACGCAACGATAAAGACGCGAAAGACATACTAATGTACGACGAACAGTAGGATACCACATTCCATGCAAATCAGCCGGAGATGAATCTGAAAGCGATACGATTAGATTTAGGTAGTACATTTTCATTTTAAAATAGTGATATTACTTATATTACGTGCTCGATATGCAGTATCTACGCTTTCCGTTTCTATTGAACTGTGGCTCCTGCAGTGATAAAGCAATGCTCTGCACAAAAAAAAAAAAAAAAAAAATTATGTATAGTTTGCTACCAATAAAAAAATTGTAAGAAAACAGTTATATTACTCTACCTCCATCATCTCTAATTTATCTGGATAGGCCAGATCACCAGCCGACGGATTGTAATTCAAAATGTCCGATTGCAAATAGAGATGCGCACGGAAAACCAACCTTTCCTGTACATCCTGCAGTAGTTGATTTGCGGTATTTGCAAAAGCTTCGAGCGCGCCAGCTGCACACAAATTATATTAACCAACATATACTTGAAATAGACGTAGTTCTAGTAACTCACGATTTTGTTGTACATGCTCCTCAAGCATTTCAATGCGTAAAATCGAACATATTTCCGCCAATGTCTCCAAGTGGTTAATATGTATAATGAAAGGTCGCATTGTATCGTACAATATGGTACACAGACCTTCCAGATAAGTGCTATAAGTAGCAAAATTTTGTTTAAATCTTAATTTAGCTCGAAAAATAACTACTATTTCTTACGTCAATTGATCGCTGCCCCGCGCGAAAAACTGGAAAAAGAGCCTCTGCTCGTCCTGAAAAACATGCACTAGGAATGAGCAAGCGCTGCGCGTGAGCGCACAATGAACTCCCTTGTGTGCCGCTTTCAGCTCTTGTTTATTAACAGCTGGTGACATAATAGTTGCCCTTTCGTTTAGATAATTTTGATGCATTTCCGCTAGCAGCTGTTCATATTCTACACTGCGTTCTAAACGAGATTCGACAAGTTGTGCCACGCGCTTAATTTTCACAGCAGCTTTTTGATATTTGCCATAATAAAGTGCGAACGCTGCATCCGGGGAAGTACTTGCTGTTATGGTGTTGGCTTTCTTTTCACCTTCTATTGCAGTTGATGTCGTGCTTTGTAGCATTGCAAAATGCGATTGCTTGGGATGCAGCGTGGCAGCGGTCGCTTGTGACATTACAACTTGTGTGTAGTTCTTTATTAACGCCACGGCTTTCGCTAGACAGTATTTGTATTTTGCTGTGTAAGCACCAGCATCTTTGAACTTGGGCTAAAATATAGAAGAAAAATTAAATGCAAATAAATATAGACCTCGTTAAAAAAAATGCCTTACATTTGCTCTCAAGTACTCAAGACACTCATCGATACGATCCAACCAATCACGGAATGCCTCACTTGCCACGGAGAGTGTGGGGCTTTGAAGCCGCTGATGCAGCAGCTCTACTTGGCTGAAATAGTGCAATCGTCGCTGTATTTCATCTCCTAGCTTTTGTAAACGTTTTTGCTCCTCCGTCAACTTTTCGCTGGCTGTATTGAGTGCACTAGTTTTTTGTGATACTGTTTCATATTCACTATTCAACGACTTGAGCTGCGCCATTGTGGAGTTGATCTGTTCCAAAATTTCCACACACTCAGCATCGCGTTGTTCCAGCTGTTGCAAGTACTGATATTGATGTGCATCTGCGTGACGTGTAATTTCCTCTTTCACTCGATCGTACCACAATAGGAAATCTTTACCGTTGTTGATTCCAGGCGATGGTAATCTTAGTAATTCTTGCGCACTTGCGCTGCCGGTAATACTCGTTGAGTCATAATGTGGTTTGTCCGCAGTAGTTGATTGTTCTCCATAGCCTGCGTTAGATGTGGCTTCCGGCACCTAAAAGTGAAAAATTTATCAGAATTTTGAGTCAATGTGAATGGGTGCGGTTGGCAATTACCTCATTGTAGGTTCGACACTGGTTATTTATCACATCCAAGCATTCCAATTGTAGAGCATTTAATGGAGCAAGCGCGTCACTACTTGACTCCCACTGAAGCAATCTCGTCCGCACTTTGCGTAAATTCTCATTTTCGCTTTGGACCACGGCAACGTCATCCATTTCATCCAAATCAGAATAGTTGACAGTGGAAAAGTTGACTGTCTCTGCTAAAGTCAAATCGGATAGAGATGGATGATAAATTCCAATCAAAACGATTTTATTATTAATCGATTGTTACCAGAAATTTTTATGATTATAACAAACTAAATTACCTGTAAAATTGACTAAAAACCCGGGCTTCGGAGCAGGGCGGAGAAAAGGAGCAAAAGGCTAAGGAGCAAGAAATTTTGGCTGGAGCGGAGCTGGAACGGAAAGCGACTATGATTTTCATTCATTTTCTTATATGGAAAACGTTCGAAAAAGATGATATTATTTAAAGCAGAAATTATATTTGATTTGTTGAAGCTAAACATTTGAAAGCATGTATACGTAGTCGATAGAGGCTGGGCGTGGTAGTATTTGTTAGCTTTCAGAAGGTTTCGATTTCGAATACCGCCAGGCGCTTCCTTATTTATATATATATTTTTTTCGAACCATGAGAAAGCATCTGTAAAAGCATTAGTAAATTAAATGAAAAAAATTATTTATTTATAAAATATAGAATAAACAAATAAATAGAGAAATTTAGAAAAACAGCTAAAAACTTATCCGTTTCAAAACATTTTTCGATTCTTGTCTGTGCATACATTTCTACTGCACACTTTACTGGAAAAACGGATTGTCAAAGTATCCGAAAATGGAATCTGTAAACCGACAAAAATCCGCATTTCATCGCCCGTTTCCGATCCATTTCGGTTTTTTTGCTGACTGGGTTAATATCTGCCATCTTATTTACAAGACAAAATACAAAAGTGTTCGCTAGGCAAAAAACTAGTACAAGGTGGTATCAATTGTTACTAAATCGTGTTCGTTTGGTCAAAAAACTAGTAAAACTTGCAAGGAGAGAGCACAATTTTGACATTTCA